TTACTTTTGCGTTACTTTTTAAATATAAGCAGGGCTTGATTGTTTTTAATATAAGAAGTTCTATTTATAGCAAATGTAAAAGCCCTTTCATACCAAAAAGTGTAATGAATAAACCTCAGGCTGAAGCAAAAGTAAATTCACGTCTGTACAGTAGAACGCAGGAGAAGAAACACTCTTCAGCAATAAAAAAACAAAGCACAATTGTTAGTTTCTCTAAAGTCATTTTTGCTTATTAGTATGGTTGAATTGGATCATCAAAGGTCAGCAGCAAAGACATAGGTTAATAAAATAGGATATTTGTGTTATTTAACATATTTAATTATTGCATGTTTGCGTCATATTCTGAGTTTGCATTTCACTGTTTTAATTCATTTTGATTAATACTAAATCTGTTTTTTTTCAATGAATTAATGCACATTCACATTTAGTCTAGAACTATAGTAACATCATGTTCACACAGTGAATAAATGGGAAAACAAAGTAACTGGCATTACTTTTTTGAAAAAGTAACTCAGATATTTTCTTGTAAATTAAAAAAGTAATGCGTTACTTTACTAATTACTAAAGTAACTAGTAACTAGTAATCTGAGTAGTTTTTGAGAGGAGTACTTTGTACTTTTACTTAAGTACTATTTTGACACCAGTACTTTTACTTGTAATTGAGTATTATTTCAGCAATGTAACAGTACTTGTACTTAGATACAAATTTTCAGTACTCTTTCCACCACTGCATAAATTTCATAAATGTATAAACGTTTCACATTAAAATGTCAAGCATATTTAATTACTTACCTCACAATACAAATTTCTGCTTACTTATGAAAATAAATTTTTTTTAGCTCCAGGTAGGTTAACATTCCTCTGCTTTCCAAGTGTTTGTGAGCATTGTTTTTCATTTCCTTTTCTTATATAAAATGGAATGCAGCCACGCCACATTCTGCAACATGAACCGTAATGAACACCAGGCTCTTTTAAAGGAGCAGCACACAGTGAAAGCAGCACATTCTCACTGACACTGACACTTGGTCAGGACCCTTTGGTCAGGACTCCTTTAGCATTTTTTCCTTGCTTTTTTGACGTGCAGGGTCCATTGCTTTCAATACACCGATGCAAGTGCCATGGACATTTTTACCGTCATGATGATATGTGTGTGTGTGTGTGTGAATAAGAAAAACTAAAATGCTACAACATTTACTATCAGCTTACTGACAATTAAAAGGGACTTTGACACAAAATTATGGAGACAAGTACATATAGGGGAGGAAAAACATAAAGATCTAAAATCAATCAATAAATAAATAAGTTAAGTCTTAAGATGGTCAGATATATGAGTTTGCTTTTCAAAAGAAAGATGCATTATATTATTTACAGACAGAAATTGGTAAATAAAAATAATAGTAATAATAAAACTTGATTAATATAACTGTTAGAATATTTTTCCCTTCTCACTTATAAACTTAGTCAGTCCAATAATGGTGGTAAAGAATTGAAATAATTTGTTGTCCATGTAATAATAATAATAATAACTGTTATTGATATTTTATTGCTTGTCGTAGCCTATTCCTCATTTGTAAGTTGATGACAAATGAGTATGTGATATTTTAATACAGAAGGGGTGGCTGATCTTACCTTAAGGAATTGGCATGTAAAATTTGGGAAAACCTAAAAAAATAAATAAAATACAATACAATATAAAAAATAAATAAAAGACACAATTAAATATAAAGAAGCAATGAATTAAATTATGATACATTCAAGTTCATCATACAATTTTTACACTATTTTTTTTTGTTTGCTTATTGTTTTTAGTGTCCTAATTAGGTAGTTGAAGTCATGAAAAAATGATCAAAATCAGTTTATTATTGAGAAAATTTTACATTTGTGAATAAAATATTCTGCCAATAAAATAATTACATTCCCTATATTCTGTATTTTAAATACAATGAGGAAAAAATAACAAAGTATATCACACAGTGTTAAGGCGACCTCTGACTCAGGATTTGGATAGATCAAATCAAAACTCTTTGGACATGTAGAAAAGAACAAAAGTAGGGAAACCCTGATACTGACGACATGAAGGCGGTCAAACGTCACTTCCGCCTGATGGCCCGAAAGCGCAGGCGGCCATATTACATTAGCAAACACACTCACGCGCTAGCAGCAGTTTGTTTATGCTGTGAAGTGCAGCTGTATTTTAGCCAAACTCTCTCAGTTTAGCTCAAGCGGTAACTTAGCGGGACGATGAGCGGCGGCACGCCGTATATCGGCAGTAAGATCAGTTTGATCAGTAAGGCGGAGATCCGTTATGAAGGCATTCTCTACACCATCGACACAGAGAACTCCACTGTCGCGCTCGCCAAAGGTCAACAACACTCCTCAAACACAACACACGCTTCTCACGGGCTTTAGTTCGTTACGCCTTAGTATTTCGCGTTATACGCGTTTAGCAACGAGGCTGTGTCTCAAAATGTAGTGAGCTTCCCTACACAGACAGCAGTGCGGCAGGCTTGGGCTTCATGAACGGGTGTTTCAATTTTGCACAATATTCACCTGCGCAACGGCAGAATGAACGCGTCTTGCCCGTAAATGTATTCTCGCTGGCTGCTCTTATTTCCCACAGCTTGTTAATGTGTTTAATGTGGGATTTCCTCCCTCTATCCAGCTGTTGGTTGTTGTCTGAGTGATGCATACTGTTACAAACTTGCCTTGTTAATCCGAGTTTCTGCCAAAATCAAGTTACCACAGTTCTGTTGTCTTATTAGACACTGTGATATTTTGGCTGAAACTATGGTCACCCTGGTAAAACTCTGGAGTAATTGATTGTCAATCTTTCAGTTTATTTTTAAATCACAATAAGCATTAAACGGATAAACTTTTTACATTAAATTTAATTTTAACTTCATTTAATTTACATTATATATATATATATATATATACAGTATATAATATTAAATGAAATGTAATGGGAAAAATGGTGATGAAACCCTGTTATTCATTTTAACACTTATTAGTTTAACTATATAGTAACTGTGTCCACATGAGATTTCTTTATGTATGTTATAAAGGTTAGGAGCTTGATTTTTCGGTCACATTTACAGCGCACTGTGAGGGTATGTTAGCACCGTTTGTTGTTTGGAAATGGTGAGGTCAGACTTAACCACTGGATTACTTACCGTGCAAAAGCTGTCTGATCTGAAGAAGATTAGAGTCAATTACCGTTATTGAAGTCAAATCTCAGAGGAAGACACGTTACTCGTATAAAAGCTCTTTTAAAACTCATGATTTGCTCTTTTGATGCTTGTTTCAGTGCGCTCCTTTGGCACCGAGGACCGACCCACGGACCGTCCCATCGCACCCAGGGATGAGATATTTGAGTATATTATATTCAGAGGAAGTGACATCAAAGACCTGACGGTGTGTGAACCTCCCAAACCAACATGCTCTCTGCCTCAGGACCCCGCCATTGTTCAGGTATAGACGAGGACGCACTCAGTGGCTAATAAATGCCCTGTACAAATGAAACAATGAAGGTTTATAATAAGCTTAACTTATTATCACTGCAGGTAATGTATTTTAGGCACATGTAGGCCAAAGTCTGGTGAGCTGCCTATTGTTAGATCCTTTCAACACATCAGGAAAGTCAAGAGTCCACTCTTTTATCCTGTCAGAAGTCTGGAAATACAGCTTTTGTCTGAAACCAATTAGCACTGCATTTTGTCTGGTATCCAAAACTGTTAATAATTGTCTTCTATTAGTCAAAGAAGCAGATGGAGGCAGATTGAAAGAGCAGGAAGCAGGAGATTTTTTGTAAAAAATGTGCAGTGTTTATTAAATAATCGTACACAATCTTAGTTGTCTGATTTATTGCTTAGTCTGGCTTTGCTGTGCAAAAGCAATGCAAAAGCTTCACAGCATCAACAAGTGATGTTAAAAACCTTGAAATGGAGACGTTATCGTGAAGAGAAATATCTCATGAAACCACAGTCATAAGTAGGGATGGGTACCCAAACCCGGTATTTAATCGATCCCGGGGCTAAATTATGAAAGACCGGAGTATCGATAAGCTCTGACGTTAACGGTTCTGCTATCGGTACATTGTGTTAGTCATCACACGTCGTGGTCACGTGTTTAGACCACAAAACTCTGCAGGACCTTGGGGTCCAGAGCTATCCACCATTGGGCTGGATTGTCTCCATTGTCGGAAGTGCAATGTGCTAAGACTATCCCTTTCAGTGCTTGGGTTTCCTGTGATGTTCCTTGGCTTAAGTGGCCATTCTGTTGGAGTTACTGGTGCGTTTGGAAGCCGTAAGTTAAATATTAATAATAATTAGATGTTACATAATTTTTTTTGCAACTTTTTTGTTACTCAATTTGAAGCACCACAATTATTATATTGTTTCGTCTGTTGTAGAGTCTACTCTGAACAGACATTCAGATGTTTATTTTAAAATGCAAAGTATTGAAAATCAAAATAAAGCTCTGTAAACACTTGCATTTTTACAACACTATAAGCGTGTCCCATCGGGTAATGAAAAGTTCTACACACACTTGTGGTTTTCATGCCCACTTGAACACTTGGTCCAAATACAGGAAATACATCATGTAAGTAGACAAGTGGTCAAGTGCAAAGACGGCAAGTGTGGGTATTTGGACAAGCCCGTTGTCTTTGGGGTCCCTGTAGGTCAGATGCCAAATATCAAAATTTGTGTGACTCGACTGCATTAAAAACTACTGCTACAGTTTGATTCTGTGCACTCTTTGCACATTTAATGTAAGTTTGATTGTCATGACCTGTCAGGACCTTACTTAGCTGCTGTGTGTACGTGGCCACAATGTGTTTTTTGAAACTACTGTTTATAGAGAGTGTGTGACTGGATTGTGGTGATCTGTTTAATCACTGTTTAATCAAGAAATTACTTCATTAACACAATTCACCATATTTTGTCTTCTAACCTGCACTGATTTCCTCGCATCAGGGTGGCTGAGGTTCTTAACTTTTTTTTGCTGTAAACGGTTTTTAACTTTCTCCATTCTTCTTCTACAGGTCACACCAGTCCAGCTCAGGACCCTCTGCAAAAGAGCCCCTCAGTGGAGCCTGCTGCCCAATCAGCACCTGCAGTCACCAGTGCTGCTCCCACAGCTGTGGGTCGCAAGAGCCCCGTGTCAACTCGCGCAGCCTCCACCAATACTCAGAAGCCTGTGGACCTCACAGAACAGACTTAATTTCGTTAACGAAGACTATGACGAAAAATGTTCGTTGACGAACTTTTGTCACATGACTAAGACGAGACGATAATAAGGCCAATAAACAATAACTAAGACTATATCAACGCGCAATTTTGTTGACGAAATAATACACGACGGCATGTCATTTCAGTCTCTACGTTATGGTCGCGCTCTTTGTACCACGCACAGCGGAGTTCCGCCCCGATGCGCGCACGCACACACAAGTGAGCACACGCCCACTAGTATTTGTAAATATTAAGCCACAAAACTGAGCACTTGGCCGTTTCATTTGAGTAAAACCATCCTCATATCATATAAACACAGAAATGTAAAGATATTCACGGCAACCCGTCAAAATAAAAGAAATTGGCATTGGCAGAAATATATTACTATTGTTCAGTAGAATGTACATAATAGGCTGCTGCTACTACTACTACTAAAATTAAAACTTTATTTTTAAGGAATAATCATACAATATTTCTTCAATGTTTTAATTGTAATATTAAATTACCTTTATTTTCCAAAAAATAAAATTTGTTTAATTTTCATTACTTAAAATATAGATTAAATGAATGTTTTATGCCTTAAAAAATGTAAATACACAACACAGAATTTTGGAGCAAAAAATCATAAGGCTATTGTAAGAATAAATAAAACTTGTTATGCTTTCAAATAATTAGACATGTTAAAACACAGAATTTGGTAACAATAAAACAAGGTTGGAAAAACTAAAACATTTCATATGTATTTTTTGTTAAACTTTTAATAAGTTGATGTTAAATTAAGTTTCATGATTTTAATTAATTAGACATGCTTTTTGATTAATAAAATTTAATTTAACCATTAAAAAGGATGGTTACCCCCACAAAGCCGTAAACCTAGGGGAAACACTGGTTTGTCTTAGCTGTTTTCATAATGTAGACAGAGAGACTACATAAGTCTTTGGTATTAATTTATATAATAAAATGCCTATAATAAATCAGTACACTAGATGAGGTAAAATACACCATGTGTCCACATTCTATTGATTTGTGCTTACTGGAGAAAGTGCAATACCTGAAATGCAAAGTAAAGTAGCAAGTAGGTCTTCTGATTGGTCCGCTGTTTTGGAACTGACATTGATGAGCGCCCGCTCTGTGTAAAAGTAGATATTCTTAAAAACACTTAAACTTAAAAACACAGCGCTCATGTGCGAGTCGGCTGTGAAAGATGCGAGAAAAGTCATACACATCCATCTAGCATGTGTTTACACAGAAAAACAAACGAAAAAATCGAAACGAAATAGCACATTAGAATGGAAAATCGCTCTCCGTGTGAATGGCCCCTAACAGGGGATTTGATCTTGTTGGCTCGTGAACTGCCTCCAGAACTTGAACACTGTCGTCCTAAAGAGTTATACTCTCCCAGGCGCCGATGTCCCGAAACCAAGCGTACCCGAGTCCAGTCAGTCCAGAGGAGGAAACAGGGACGCTTCTAAACGGCTTGCAGGTTTATAACATGTCTGCTGAAAAGCCTTTCGCTGCAGTTATGTTGTGCTGTTGGATGCTAAAACTGCATGATTCTTATAAGAGCTTCGTCCATCTGTGTTTCACACGCATCCATACAGTGGCTTTTAGCAAGATCCTTTCTTGGAGAGGAACTTCTGAAGGTGAATCTCATGCAACCTGATGAGTGTTTCTCCCCAAGATTATAAGGGGGAAAAAAATGCACAAAGAAAATTAAACCAGTTTTTTGGATCAGTAGTCTTCACATGCGTCATATCATTAAGCATATTTTCCCCTGAAGTCTTTTTTTTTTTTGTAAGGCAGGAAAAAAGGGTTAATTATAATGTTATTAAAATTGTAATACTTATCCTCAGGTCACCATAATAGAGTACATTTTCATGAGATTCACACAGTTAGATCAAAAGGGTGGTTCTACTAAATACTGAGCAAAGGGTCTGAATACTTAGGACGATGTGATATTTCAGTTTTTCTTTTTTTAATAAATCTGCAAAAATGTCAACAATTCTGTGTTTTTCTGTCAATATGGGGTGCTGTGTGTACATTAATGAGGAAAAAAAATTAACTTAAATGATTTTAGCAAATGGCTGCAATATAACAAAGAGTGAAAAATTTAAGGGGGTCTGAATACTTTCCGTACCCACTGTATATATTACATTACACATTGACGTGCAAAAGTTTGGGATGAGTAAGAATTTTCAAGTTTTTTTAAAGAAGTTTCTTCTGCTCATCAAGGCTGCATTTATTTGATCAAAAATACAGAAAAAACAGTAAAATTGTGAAATATTATTGCAATTTAGAATGTAATTTATTCCTGTGATGCTGTGCTGAATTTTCAGCATCATTACTCCAGTCTTCAGTGTCACATGATCCTTCAGAAATCATTCTGATATGCTGATTTATTATTGATATTAGAAACAGTTTTTGCTGCTTCATATTTTTTTTTAAACTGTGACTCTTTTTTTTCAGGATTCTTTGATGAATAAAAAGTAAAAAAGAACAGCATTTACTTAAAATATAAATCTTTTGTAACAATATACAGTACCATTCAAAGGTTTGGGTTCAGTACATTCTTTTTTTTTTTTTTAAAGAAATTAATACTTTTATTCAGCAAGGATGTGTAAAATTGATAAAAAAGTGACAGACTTATATTGTTATAAAAGTTTCTATTTTGAATAAATGCTGTTCTTTTTAACTTTTTATTCATCAAAGAATCCTGAAAAAGTGTCACAGGTTGCGAAAAAAATAATGTAGCAGCATATTTAGCATTTTTAGTTTAGTGAATTTAACTTCTGCTTTAAAAAGCGTTATTTTTGTTTTTAGATTGTAATATTACAATGCTATAATGTAATGTGATTTTAACCCTTTTTTTCACAATGTATAGCATAGCCTACATGGTTATATTAATTTTATTTATTTTCAAACCCTATTATATATTCATTATTTGATGGACAACATTGGGCAGGATGTGAAATTATTTTTATTTTAAAATAAATACAGATTTTTTTAATCCAAATAGGAAGCTACAAAAACGAAATATATACCATATATCACAATTCAGCCAAAAATTACAGAGATATGATTTTTTTTTGGCCATATCGCCCAGCCCTGTGACTCGGGCTCGAACTGACGACATTATTAACTGTTCTTATCATTGTTTTTAAAGCTGAAGCTAGCGATTATGGTAAGGGGCGTTACATTTCCGACACACGCTTGAGATGTTCAGCCAATCACAACGCCACTGGGTCAGCTGGCCAATCAGAGCACATTGCTCTTTTCTGAAGGTGGGACTTTGTAGAAATCGACACATTTTAGAAAGACTGGGCATACAGGAACTACTATATTGTACTGTATGTGAAAAATAATTTGTATGAACGTTAAAGCATGCTAACATATTCTTTTACACCCAATACACAAAATAATCTTTGAAAATAGCATCATATAACCCCTTTTATTCCATTTCTATTGAAACTTGTATGTCATGTACTTAAATATATTTGTAATTACACATTTATTATGATAAAGTTGCAATTAAAGTCGCTATTTAAATGTAGTATCAAAGAACACAAGTTCAAATTATAATCAAGTGCTTTACATGTACTTTATTATGTTAGTCAACACATCAGAAGTGTTGACATTTCAAAGTGTACTTAAGACATAGTTATAAAAAGTGTACTCCTTTATTTCATTTCATCTTTTATCTGCAAGTACATTTTTTAAGTACACTTATGATTTTAAGTATACTACAAATGCATATTGAATACAATTAAGCACACTTTCACAGTAGAGTGTAAAGCTTTCTCATGCTGTAGTCTAGAGAAAAATGCAGGTTGATTTTAAGTATACTACAAATGCATATTGAATACAATTAAGCACACTTTCACAGTAGAGTGTAAAGCAGATAGCTTTCTCATGCTGTAGTCTAGAGAAAAATGCAGGTGTATTTCTCTGTGTATGTGTTTGTTCAGATGAGAAGCCCGAAAAGGCTTTGAATGGCGAGGATAAAGGTGATTCGGGAGTCGACACTCAGAACAGCGAAGGAAACGCTGATGAGGAAGATCCTCTCGGACCAAACTGCTACTACGATAGATCCAAATCCTTCTTTGACAACATCTCCTGTGACGACACAAGGTCAGAGCACATCCAGCATGCCTTTAATATAGAGATGAAACGCTATGAAAACTTCTTATCGCGGTTATAGTGACCAAAATTATCACGGTTAGCGGTATTACATGGTATTGTTAAAATATGATGGAAATGTTCAAAAAGTACTGACACATGAATCTCTTCAACAAAGTTGTATATTTAAAATCAACACAACAAATAAAATTACTTTTTGAACGCTAAAACATGTACGAAATGTTCAAATAAAGCTTTGAAAAAGTTTCATAAAACGGTAAACCTCACATTTAAAGTCAAAATGATAAATGATTAATAAATGATCAGATGTATTTTATCTGCTCCATAAATAATTCTAGATAACTTATCCGAATTATTTAAATGTGTTGAATCCACATCAGCTTGTTTTTCATCAACTGGTCAAAATTTACAGTAAAGCATGCAAATTCGGTCGTTTTTTTGGGCAGACAAACTGCACACAGGCTGAATGTAAAAGTAACTCTCTGTAAATCCGCTCTCTGACAGCAGGTGGCGCTGATGGAGCAGCAGAATTACAGCGGTTTCCCATAACCTCCGCTCCACTGCGGAGAACCGCATGAGTGATTCAGCGGTATCTCGTCTTCTCTCTCAAAACGGCTTCACATCAGCGCATCTCGTCTGCACTACAAGAGCCGCTGCACGCTGCGATACGATATTTACGCTCACGTTTCGGGACAGTCGACAGAATTTTCACGTGCCTAAACGGGTCACTGTTTCATCGTCACAAAACAGCATCATTTGCACATATTTTTAAAGGGTTAGTTCACCCAAAAATGAAAATTGGCTTGTGTTTTACTCACCCTCGAAGCATCCTAGGTGTATATGACTTTCGTCTTTCAGACGAATCCAGTCGGAGTTATATTAAAAATTGTCCTGGCTATTCCAAGCTCTATCATTGCAGTCAGTGGGTGTTGCAGTTGAACAGTCCACAAGTCGTCAAATAAAGCGCGCGCATTCATAATAAAATGTGCCTCACACGGGTCCGGGGGCTGAATAAAGGACTCCTGTAGTGAATCCATGCGTTTTTGTAAGAAAAATATCCATATTTCAAACGTAATAAACACTTTTCTCTCACTTCTGCTGACTGTTGTACGCGGAAGCCGTTCCGGCGGAAGGCCGTATGACGTATGCACAGCGTGCGCGCCTCTGAGGTATGCTAGTCTCGCGAGTTTGTTTACAGGAGCAAAGGAAGCAAAGTTTCCTTACTTTAGCAAAGGAAAACCAGTCTCCTCTTGGTTTATATCGAAATCCTCCGACATTTTTCTTTGCAAATCCTCGGTTTGTGCTTCTAATTCGTGACCGGCGTTTTGTTCTTTCTCCGCATTCGTCACTAATCACGCAACGCCGCGCGTCTTACGTCATCCGCCTGAACGGCTTTAGTGTACGACAGATACCGGAAGTGAGAGAAAAGTGTTTATTATGTTTGAAATATGGATATTTTTCTTACAAAAACTCATGGATTCACTACAGTAGGCCTTTATTCACCCCCCGGAGCAGTGTGAAGCACGTTTTTATTATGGATGCGTGCGCTTTATTTGACGACTTGTGGACTGTTCAACTGCAACAACCGCTGACTGCAATGATAGAGCTTGGAATAGCCAGGACAATTTTTAATATAACTCCGACTGGATTTGTCTGAAAGAAGAAAGTCATATACACCTAGGATGCTTTTAGGGTGAGTAAAACAAGCAAATTTTCATTTTTGGGTGAATTAACCCTTTAAGTCCTTGTAAACCATTCGGTACTCGCGTGCTCCACAACGGTTTTCTGTGTGCTTACAGTCACGCACATGAAGCGGCCTCAAACACCACGAGTACCAAATGGAGTATCCTCATAAACACGGTCAGTTTTGTCTTAAGTGAATGTAAGCAGTTGTTGAGAAAGAAGTCTTAAAGGGACAGCAGCCTAATAAAGCTGTGCCGTCTGTCATTGTTGTTAAAAAAAAAAAAAAAAGAGATAAATCACTGCTCTTGACTAAGTAACATTTGTTTCCACACAAAACGAAACTACTCTGCATGCTGTGCGCACGTGACACTGTTACTTCAAACTCTGCTTTATGCTGGACGGGATTTCTTTATCCTGTTCAAATCGCAGTAATCGAATACAGTTTTAATAATTAAATTAAGAAACGGTAAAACTAACCGTGAGGAATTTTATCACGATTTATCGTCAAACCGGTAATCGTTTCATCCCTACTTTAATATAAGCCTCCATGTGTAAAATGTCACTTTTGTCACATGATGCAACAAATTCATAAATCTTGTCATTGTACCTGATTTTAAACAGGAAGGCCGCTGAGAGATCTGGAGGATCCGGTTTCCCCCGGTGAGTACAGCAGAAGCCAAAACTACTGAACGGCATTAGCCTTGCTACAACCACTTCATTAAATCTATTTGAACTGGTTTTCATCATTTCTTTGTTAAGAGAGAGGAGGCAGACCTGGGCGGAGGAGCGGAGGATGAACGCAGAGACGTTTGGTCTCCCGCTGCGGCGGGGTCGCGGAGGCTTCAGAGGTCGCGGTGGCATGGGCTTCAGAGGGGGCCGGGGCCGCGGAGCTGGACGGGGGTGGTTTGGATCTCATCCTGGTGGAAGTGGCTTTAGAGGGGCATTCAGAGGAAGCCAAGGAGGAAGAGAGTTCTCTGACTTTGAATACAGGGTAATGAACGAGTCAAATTATGCTCGTGATAAGCATTTTACAACCCTCGACAATGCGAGTAAATCTCTCGCTTATGCGACTAAATGTTCATGCTAGGCTATTAAATAGTGTGATTAAAAATGTGTGTGTATATGAAGAGTTCATTTGCAAAAACCGATAATTCCATTTTTTTTTTTTCAGAAATCACGTTTTTTTAAAGTAATATCAATCAAACTGCAGTTGGGTTGTTTTTATTAAGTAATAATAACTTAAACAAATACAGGTAATTTACAAAATTAAAGTTCATTGAAAGTATGTTTTTTTTACATATTAAAAGTTTGTTTTATAGCAAAAGCAGATAACTCCAACAGTCGTTTTTTGGCAAAAGCAGATAACTCCACATTTCATGTTTTAGAGTTAAAAAAAA